ATTGAAAGCACTTTCAGCTGCTAGTGTACTGTCCCTGAAAGTTTGTAGAATACAACAAAGGGGTATATAAAAGACAGCTAGTAAGGTGAATATCAATACCTCAACATACCTATTCAGAAAACAACTCGTGAATTTTCCAGTGCGTGTAGATTTGTAGAGTCATAGAATCACAGAGTGGTTTGCATTGGAAGGGACCTTAAAGATCATCTAGTTCCAACCCCCCTGAACACTTGACATGCAGACTGAAAGGTGGCAGCAGCTCCTGTATCAAGAATGTTTCAAACCATTCATTGCCAAGTGCTACTATATTGTTTGCAGCAGAAATTTGGCATTGATTTGGGATAGCATGACTTTCAAGTAAATTTTCAGCCATATTGTAAGCAATTAAAAATCATAATTTTAATACTTTTTTACTTTTGAAAATTTTCAGCTGATTTTTATCTAGCAGGGAGATTTAATATAATTAAAACTAGAAAAAAGACCACAGGAATATACACACAGCTTTTCCCTTTTTTTTAGTAAATAAAGATTAGAAGCAGAATATTTTGTGTTGCCATTTTTTAAAATGGCAAAATTGTGTATAGTTTCCACAGATATGAAGTGTCTCAGATTAATAAACATGGGGGTTTTTTTGTATCTTTTAGGCATATGGAAGCAGTGCAAGAGCTGTTTAGGTAACTCGGTAGGTTAAAACAATTACAATACACTTCATAAATCACAAGCAAACAAGATATTTTAGGAAGGGAAAGAGCATGACGGATGAGGTCACCAGATATACAATATGTCACTTGGTTAACTTAAGCCCATATTTTTCCCATAATGTAGTAGATGAACTCATTAGTTACAATGAAAAACAGTAAGAAGGAGGCATCTGGCTTCCAACTGCCTGTTTCTGACAGGGTTAAGATCACTAGATCTAGTAATGTTTGTGCGTTGTCTACTGACATGGCCTTGTGCTGCAGAAAACTGATGAGGTTTGCTGAAAATTTACAGGCTTACTGTCACAATGTTATAACTTAGACAGATGCAATCAGTTACATTTTTGCTTCTGTTCATGTTTATCATTTTGCTAAGTTTTGAGTATTTAGGATTTTTATAAATGCATATGTGTTACTGGTTTAAGATTCTTCTAAGTAACTTTATGAAGCTGTATTCTTTGTTCCTGAGTTCTGAAGGCAACAGAAGTGCTGTGACACAGTATAAATGAACATAGAATAAAACTTGTGGCTATGCAGTGTGGCAATGTAGTTTTTGACTAAAACTGGTTGGGTTTTGTGACCCATGCTAAGTTTATAATCTACGTAAAGTAATACTAATAATAATGCTGATCCAGAAGGTCTTATAATACATCTTTTCAGACATATTTATCTTAATTTCACAAATACTAAATTGCTACTATTCTTATTTGAGTGGCAGTTATTAGACAGTTTTATCTATTCTGAGTTTATTTTCCTTTGATTTCAAAATTGGACCTTTTAAATCCTTATTCATTTAGCTTGCTTGATGTTTTAAAAATGAGAGTTAATGCATTGGATTTAGGTAGGTTTTAGAGATTGTTGTTCATAGTCATAAATCAGACTAAGCTTAATTGACTTAGTGCAGTGTATTCATATTAGGTAGTGGAGGCACAGGAAGAAAAGTAAAGATGCAAATCTGACTTCTGTGGAAATCAAGTATCAATCAAGAATCCATAAACTTAACTGTATATAGAGTAACTTCTCTTGATATTTTTTCCCTATATAATTTTAGTGTTATGCATTCTGTAGTATATCATATCTAAATTTTATATCCATGGATTTAATTTTCCTTCCATTTTTAGCTTCAAATGGTGCAATCACCTAGACATTCTCATTTGGGAACAAAGGATTACAAGCCACCTCCTGAGTAATTAAGTACAGTCCCATTTATAGTGTCTTGAAATGGGTTCTGTTTTTTGAACCTGCTACGCTGACTGGACTATTCCAGAATCTTAATTCCATATTGATAGCTGTCACTTCAACTCAGTTTTCTCATGCCAACTCTTCCATTCAGTTTAAATCTTTTTTTTTCTTTTTTCTTTTCTTTTTTTTTTTTTTGGTGTACACATCCTGAAAATACATGTGGAAAAGCTGTTGTGTACCTTCTCAGTATTAGTTTAGCCAGACTGTATCAGCCAAACCCTTTTTTTTATTGCAGCAGTAGATCACTGTAGATCTTGATAGTGGCACTTCCATCTTTCTCAAATATAACAGTGTACACAGTATTTCATAATGAACCCTACCAAAGCCTTCTCTAATGCCATTCATACTTAAGTGTTGCAGGAACTATTTCTTTGGGAAAGTTTGGAATCATGTTTTCCTTTCCTATGTCTGTATTGTATTGGTAACTGAATTGTTACCTAGTGACTGATGTATTCAGGATTTTCTCTTCAGTCATTTCCAGTTGATGAATTCCAGTTAAAATGGGCATCTCTGTGTTAGTCACTGGATGCGCAGCTTTTCACTATTACATGTAATTTGCAGTTCTGCCATAATGCTTTCTTACAAACATTCTTCTGTGGCTGTCAGTTGTACCTTGTAACTTTGTCATCAGCATATTTCACTGGAATGTTTTTACTTTTAAACCTCAAGTCTTTATTAAAATTTAAACGAGATAACTCCTGTGGTAGTTTCACTGTCTGATGGTTTTCTTCTTTTGGAACTATTTGTTGGCTCCTTCTTAGTGAGTTTCTTTTCCCACATTCTATTAATTTCCAGGTTCTCCTGGCTAAATTATTATCTGTTGTAACAAGCCAGCTTTACTGAATTTTACTACATTGGCCCTTATTTTCTTTGAGCAATAAATATTTAAAAAGCTCTTTTAGCAAAGTCATTTTGTAATCTATCTTCTTCCATTCCATTACTATCTTTACTCCAAAATAAATCCTGTATCTGTCTTGCTGTTGAAGGTTTGCAGTTGTCCAGATCATTTTTTCCCCTTTCTTAAAAAGAAAGCGTGTGTGGTTTTCTCCAGTCGTATGTTGCTATCTCCACATACCTGTTTGGGAAAAGTACTTGCTACTACACCAGTAATTTCACAGACTGTTTCTTTCAAAATTGGCTTGGAGTCCATTCATTCTCATTATTTTAATACATTTAATCTGGGTGTTTGAATTTCCACAACTGCATTTCTAGTAGCTTTCCTGTCTTTAGCTTTCTGTCCAGCATTGTTGACTTTAATAAAAATTGAGGGTAGGTGTACTCTAACTTCACCATGTAGTGATCATGTTCTTTTTTCAGTGCCCTCTTTTCATTTACATAATAATGGAACATTATGCTATTTTACTTACCATATATTACAAGGGTGCTTGACTGATAGTCTAGTCCTACTCTTCCCTTCATCTGAGAAGTGTTGTCTTTGTATGGATGAAGTTTAAAGAGACAAACAAGCATAAAAATCATTAGGATCATGCTGTGGATCAGATGTCCTTCTGTGCCAAATATAGGCAGTGCTAAGTAGATAAGGATTTTTTACTTCCTGACCTGGCAGATGCTAAATGCATTTTATGCAGCTCATAAATCCAGTTTCTACTTCCTGCTTCACAAAGCAGGGTTCATATCTATTTGATAAGATGTGTTTAAGGCACTTAGGAGAAAGAGAAGAAGGAAGTGGCTTCAGCGTTTACGGCTGTTAAAAGAAGAAAGCAATACTCCTGATAATGGGTTATTCTGCTTTGTATTTTTAAAAGCCTCTTCTGTGTTATCTGTATCTGTTTGTTAGTACTTATACGTGAAGAGGTTTACACTACCATTAGTTCAAACACATAAATAATCCTATATAGAATTTTCTATGTGCACATGCATACACACACACTTAGATCCATGTGGTAAATATGTAGATATTTTACACCTGATTGTATTAAACAATTGGTAATAAATTTGTAATATTTAGAAGGGCAGGGCTTCATTGAAGGATGCTGTAAAGTACTTTCTATAATATCTAAACTGCTGTATCAGCACCATCAAAAAAAAACCAAACACAAAACTGTCTTATTTCATACAGAGGCCAGCTAAATTTTATAATCAAGAGAGGTGATACAATGCAAGTAAGGTAGTTTGAAAATAAATTTTAAAATCGACTTCAGTGCAAGCTTTTTGTCATTAAAAATAGCTACAGTCTGTTGCTCTAAAAACATGTAGCCAAAATTACGAATATGGAAGTTATTCACAACTCTAACTTTTCACTAAGCATAGAAGTTATTTTTAGTGAAGGTCTTCTGACTATTTCACTGAAGTAATTAGTAGAGGTTCACTTTCCTTATTGCAAGATATTGTGAAGTCCATTTCAATCTGGAAGTGTTCCGTACTCAACAGATTTCACTTGCCTGTCTCTATAATGCTGTGTTTATTCTGTTCTTAACATTTTCCTGAAGGAATTAAAGAATTTTACCTTTTGCGGTTATCTAAAGAATCAACAAGAACACTTATTTTTATCAGTCATGTATAAATACATTTGTATTCAATATAATTATGTGTAAAAATATGTATGGTACATATTTTAAACAAAGACAAAGCAAACAAAAGCTCTAGTAGTTTTTTTTTTTTTTAATGCAAGCTTAATATTTGCTGGCTGAAACAAAACCCCTAAATTTTATAGTAATCTTAAAGCATAAGTGATTGCAGTTTTCTCTTCAGTAGTCTCACAGGTCATACAGATATGCAGTCAAAAGGTTATGATTTTTAATGTTTTTGCTGGCAGTATTTTGTTACTTGATTAGTATGTGAAGTAGTGGGCTGTAATTTCTAAATGTCACTGAGCTTGCATAATGCAACTTTGGGCTCCCTCTCCCAAGCCTTTGTATATGCCAAACAGCTGTGGAAAGCAAAATGTTTTGTATGTAAAATGAGTTTTTAAGGTTTAATCTACTAAGATTTGTGGGCTTTCTAACACTTTTCTGTCTTGTAAAACCTTATGATCACATTTTAAGGGGAAAAAATCAAACTAAATTATAAATATTGTTCGTAATCTCTATTTCACTGCAGAGACACCAACTGTATTTCCAGAAAATATCAAAGATAAAGAAACACCGACACCAGTTGAAGATATTCAGTTGGAAAGCTCTATTCCTCATACGGACTCTGGGATTGGAGATGAACAGATGCCCAACATTTTGAATGGTACAGACTTGGAGACCAGCACAGGCCCTGATGCAATGAGCGAGCTGTTGTCTACTTTGTCTTCGGAAGTGAAGAAATCTCAGGAGAGCTTAACAGAAAGCCCCAGTGAAATGTTGAAGCCTGCATCATCAATATCCAGTATCAGCCAAAGTAAAGGCATCAATGTCAAGGAAATACTGAAAAGTCTTGTGGCAGCCCCTGTTGAAATTGCAGAATGTGGTCCGGATCCAATCCCTTACCCAGATCCTGCACTGAAGAGAGAAGCTCAGGCTATTCTTCCCATGCAGTTTCACTCATTTGACAGGTATATAGCTGGATTCATTATTTTATATTGATGTAATTCAGAAGTTTGAAGGAATTTTTTTTTTAACATGGTTATTCTATTGGTTTGTATTAGACCATTAAAAAACAGATGCATTACTTCTCCTTTACTGTATTACCAAAAAAGACTATATAAGACCATATATAGTATAGAGAAAAGTAATTCACCTTGTTTTTCTCTGTCAACAGTGAATAAAACTCTACGAGGTACTTGGAAAACAACCCTGTTGTAAAGAAATATTTTTGCAATAAAATCTTTTTTTCCTTTAAAACATTTTAGTTAAAAGCATTTTAGTGAGGAGGAGGGGTAATGTCTGCTGATATAGAACAGACTGTGCAGAAATTCAATCGAATATTCTTTCAAAGGCTTAAATCTTAATTGGATCCATCATTGTACTGTTTTCTGGTACTGAAATGTTTTGACCATGGAAAATTGTTTGCATGGTCATAGCGGAAACCAGTTTTCTTTTAGCTCTTTAAACAGCAGATATGCTTAAAAGTTAGTGTTTAAAAATAAACTGCTGAACATTTCCACAGAGTCCTTTGTCTCTCTTTTTAGTCTTTAGCTTCCCAGTTTCTGATGAATATACTTTTCTTTAAATGTCCAGTCCATCTCAGTTATCCTGAACATAGAAGTTGTGATAAGATGTGCAATTGATAACATCCTTCCAGAAAAAGGGTAACCTGATCCATTGTGGGTTCAGTCCTAACCTGTGGAAAGAACTAATGATATGAGTGGTGCTGTGGTTACATTTTCCAATATGACAAGATCCCTGCAGTTTTTTCATGAAAATCTTTTTAAAAGGTAAAAAATGGAATCAAGACTGAACTCAAAGATACAGTAAAACTTGTCTCAAAATTTTAAATAGATTTGTAGAAATACGTTAGTTCATCATGCAGGTACAAGAATTAAAATTCTGGGGGAATTAAAAACCCAAGAAAATGGCTTTTGTGATTTGTGAGAAAAATGCATCTGCACTTACAGAAAACCTGCAAAAATGTCAGAAATGTCTTTGTTAAAGTCTTAAGAAAAACAATATGGAAGGAATGTTTTGAGCATAATGTAAACACTAAAGTACAAGAAGATACATGAGAATTTCAGACTAAAAGTGAAGAAACAATTTTTCATTTCAAATTCTGTAGAAAACATGATGCTTTTTAGTCTATATGTATATTAGTTCTGAAGCTACTTTTCTGAAATAATTAAATAAACAGCCAGATAACATCTATTGTAAAAAAGAAGATTGGATCAAGATAGGAAAAGAGAAATGTGCTTTAGAAGCAATGAATATGTCCCTTTCTAATAATACTTTAGGTCTTAAGACCATTCCAGAGAAAGCTCATTTAGCAACTGTTTCATGAATAGACTATTTTTTGTTCATCAGTCTGCATGTTTTGATTTTAGAGTGACTTCAATGTAATGTGAAAAATACTTTTTTTCCAATATAGTTAGGATTTTTTCCTTTTCCTCTGTGAGGAAAATGCTTGTTCCAGAATGCATGCTTGTACATTAAGCAGTACAAAAATTTGTAATGCGTGTAGATTTAATACAGCTAACTGCAACCACCAGAAGGTTACTTTAGTTGAACCTATTCATGTAAATTTCTAGCTGGGTCGATTAAGAAAAGCACTTCATTCAGAGGATTGTTTTTAATTCACAAAATGTTAGACACCTAAATTAAAATGGAGCCATACCACCTCACGAGATGCCTTTGTCATTGTTAGAAGGAACTTAACAGCAAAGTGATTGAAGAGATGAGTTTTATTCTGCATTTCTAAGTTACAGCTTTATAAGCAAGCATTAAAAACTCTAAAGGGCTGCAGCAGGTTGGCCATAATCTGTATTTAGTGTGAGCACCTCCATTAGATTCTTCTTGCAATGATGTGACTGCTTGTACATTTTGAACATCATTATTAGTAGCTGCTAATACAGAATTATGGAATTACTTGAGAAGTGCTTCATGTCTAGAGTTTATAGATTTTGATAGGCATTTTATACTTAAAAGTTTGCTTAGGAGCCGCAAGGTTTAGTGATACCTTTTTCCGCCTGTCCTATTACCCTACTGACCAAGTTGTGATTCCATGATTTCCTGTACAAAGTGTACAGCTGTGTTTGTATCTGAGTAGCATATGTTGTACCTTTTCATCCCTTGGCTTTATTTACTTCTTCAGCAAAACAAGTGGTAACTGTTGCAGTTGAGGCAGAAGAAGACTCCTTTACAGCCATTTTATTGGGATATTTTGTTTCTTTTAAATAGGTAATCCTACTGTCTGATTTTGGAGAGTAAGGCAGATCATGCTTTTTAATACAGCAAACAACTAGGAAGGGAAAAGTGGCAGGTTCAGGAAGATCAGAAGTGTTAAATTCTTTCCTCCAACTAAATGAATGGTATTAAAACTGTAAGCATTGTGATAAAAATACTGATGTTCTTAGTCTACAGTATATCAACTGCCTGGTTGCACCTCACGGCAACATTACTGAGTGGTGACCATTGTTCAGGCAGATATTTCTCTATGCAGTTTGCTTGTATTTTCAAAGTACTTACTTGACCCCAAGGCAAAAGATGGGTGGTGGTGTGGCTTTTGTTTTTCAAATTTTTTGAAAAAGGAGGACCAGATTGCGATCCTGACCCAGTAACTTTTCATAGGTGACGAAACAAGTTAGAATAAAAAAACTTTGAATAGTATTTTGAAATAATATTACAATTAATTAAAATATTAATTGAGAAAGCAACATGAATTTTAGCTTGTGGTGGTTTATTAACTTTTTGCATTGCTGACAGTATCCCAGTTTTCACTGAAAGACTGAAAAAAATTACTGTCGTCTTTCTGTACTTGTTCATGTAAATGTAATTGTGTTTACTGATACAAAATAGCAAATAATATACACTGCATATTTTTTAAAGGCTAAGACTATCCCTGTGGAACATATTTCTGTAGGATCTTCTGTTGCTGGAGTTACAGAGCTTTTGGTACTTCACTGACCACGCAGCTATTGGTTGTGTTTATTCTCTCTAGAGAATCTTGAGCAATAGAGTGTATTGTTTTGTCAGGTTTTATTTGTTTAACTTTTTATAAAATATATACAGTGATTCCATATTTATAAGCAAATCTAGGTTAGAAAAGTGTATTTTTCACCTTAATCAAATGGTATTCTTAGTCCTTGTGAGGCTAGACTTTTTTAATTTTATTTTTGCACTTGGATGGCTGAGTCCCTCTGTAGAAGAAGAGTTGAGGTAATTAATAGAAAACTAATAGTATCTTTGTTGTTTTAAAGATATTTCTCTAACTGTAATCACTGATCTCACAGTAAATACCACATAAAGCAAACTCCTGTAAATAGAATTGAAGTTAAAATTCTATCATTTAATGTGCTGCGTTTTGCTCTATTTATTCTTTTAATTGCACATTGCTAGTATCTTCATAAGAGTCATTGCGTGATAGGCTACAGTGTATATTTCTGTAGTATTTGTGCAGTCAAAAATGAAATATAAAAGCAGAAAACGTGGCCAACGTGTTTTATCAAGTAGGACTTGGTGTGCAGTTAATGTATGCAGCAGTTCAAGTACTATCGAATGTAAATGATGAGGTGATACTGATGAAAGGAGGGGATTGAGGTCTCCGGGGGCGCTGATGACGGATTGAACAGAAGCGGCCTTGCACCACACGTAACTCAAGTCTGTCGTCTTCACCGCTCAAAGCCATAATGGGAGGTGGCAGTCTGAAATGAGTTGCCACGGCAAAGAGTATTATTTTTGAAATGCTTTCACACAAATCACTAGGCCCTGCATACAACTTAGTTTCATGCTTTAATGTCATCAGGAGGCACAAATTGGTGTGTCTAATTGTTTGCCACCTGCCAGCAAAATGAGCTGCCAGCCAGCCAGACGGGTTTGATTGTCTGTCAGCTCTTCAATAGATTGAGAGTGACAACATCAAAAATTTCACTTCAAACTCTGAAGCTTTGAGCAGCTTTTCAGAGACCTCTTCCCCACAAGTGCTTCTGGACAACTGCATTTTTCAATTAGTTTTCAATATATCCCTGCCTTCTGCCTCATCTGTCTTAAGGCAGCTGTAATTACATTATGAGCTACATAAACAGATTTCTGGGACATTGGAGCCTGGATCCTTAAAGTTATGACACGTCTTTTAACGTCAGACTGAATTCCTTGAAAATAGCATCCAGGTTGACATTTTTAGAAGCAAACACAAAGGGTTGTTTCACCTAGATTTGCAACTAATGGAGCATAACTCACTAATAATTCCTTTTTGCCTTCTCATCCTTTGTCTGACAAAAATCAGTCCCCACTACTGATTTTTAGGGTTTGGGGATTTCTCATTTCTATTTTTTTTGTCAATTTGCGTTTGTCCCACTAAATGCAGCCTAGACCATTATTATTTGAGAACTTATTTGTGATTCTACCCAGTACTGAATTCTGAAGCTTACATTTGCTCCACTCTCCTTTTTTCTAGTAGAGTTTTTAGGGGGGTGCTATTATTGAAATTGAGAGCACCTGTGGGTTTTTTGTCTCATTTTTTCAAAGGTAATTTGCGTATATTTTCTGTACTTAACTGAATTATTTCAGTAGGGAGCATGCTTGCATAAGCTGAAAATCTTGAGTTCCTGGAAATGAGATCAGTTATTTTTGCTGCTATTAAATACCTTATTACCTTTTAATCCATTACCACTTCATAAATTGGAATACTATGGGTTTGCATGGTTTACATGCTCAGTGAAGTCTGTACAAGCATATTTTGAAATATTTGGGAGGACACACTTCTGAAGTATTATAGTCTTGGGTTTTTGGGTCTGGGTTTGTGGGGTTTTTTTATCCCCATAGAAGGTCCTTGCGGATAGTTTTAAAAATATCCGTATGCTAGCAAAGGTGGACATCTTGCAAAATCCAACCAGGGCTGATACATGCCAATTAGTACAGAGAAAGAATGTCTTCAGAAAGTATGTTTAGCATGGTTAATGTATGT